CAGTTTAGCAAATTCAAAGACTTAAAGTAACTACAAAGGATGGTCTGAAATTAAACTTTAACTAGAAGCAGTTATGGTCGATAGTCATGTCCTAGGCCCGTATCTTCATTGACAAGGTCAATCTTTACCTTAACTGAGCCTATTGTCTTTTTGCATCTAAGATAACATACTAGTACCTCTGAAATGTCTGGGTAACTTGTAACTTCCCTTTTTCCGGATCCCTCAGGGTACAACCAAATGTACCTGGGCGCCTGGACAGAGACCGTAAATTCCCTCATTGTTATTGTTGTCATGTTAATCGTTGACTGTTAACTATTCTGCACCCACCTAAGTAAAAGAAGTATGTGTCTATCATTTTACTTTTTATCCAATCCCAGAGGTCACCCCTCTACTTTGCTTTCTCCCGCCTCTCTAATCTATCACCAATGGATTTCATGTGATCCACTTATGTCTCCTCCTTTGATTGTAATGTATAAAACAAGGTGAAAAACCGCCATTCTCCGGAGCATTCTCCCAGTCCATTGAGTTTCTGCTTCTGGCAATTCTCCACAGTTTGGCCCAAATAAACTCACAAAAGTTCTTTACCGGTTTGAGTGTTTCTACGTTGACATTACGCTGGTTGGTATGGGTGAGGGAGCGCACTGTCAGTGTTCTGATTAAGTCTCTGTTTCTGTGGGCCTGTGTCAGGGCCTGTGACTCAGACATAGCTCCAGCGGAATAGCTTTTCTCCCTTCGCCCCATCTCCCCTCCTCGCTGTAGCATTCCTAACTCATTTCCTTGACACTTGACCCCTATTGACTGTTTCTTCCTTTTCCTCTTAGGTGAGACAGGAAGGCTAGCTCTTCTTCCAGCCATTTATCAAGTTCTGTCAAAGTGTTTTCTCCTGGACAGTAGACCTTTGTGATGCAACAGGCTCTGGGCATATTTCACAATTATCACCCCCCCGCACCCCCCCCCCAGAGGCACTCTCAGCCCTTCACCATGAGAGTCAAGTAGGCTTGCTGTAGGTAAAGCCCACACAGAGGGAGCGGTTCCTCCGAGATGGTGGCTCCTAGGGGCTTCTCTCGTCGTCCAAGCCCAGCCTTCAGAAATTCACCACAATTACCATTTAAGAGTCCTTACCAATCTATGGCTCTTGGGACTTCCGGTCCAAGTAAGCAGATTTTCACTGGCAGCACCAGGACTCACCTGGATTCGAGTTCAGGGTCACCGACCTGCAACCCAATTTCTCTGATGGGTCCAAGAAAAGTCACTGACTCAGTCTGAGCAGTGTTTCCTTGTTGCAAATGTGGATGAAAAGAGGCCACATATTAAACCTCACAAGCTCAGGGGAGGTGAGCGTGGCAGCCTTGCAAATCAGACAACTAAAGTAACCACAAAGGATGGTCTGAAATGAAAACTTTGTCACTAAAAGCAGTTTATGGTGTGTAGTCATGTTCTAGGCTAGAAATCTTCCCTGACAAAGGTCAATTTTCACCTTAACTGAGCCTGTCTGTCATCTTTGTGCACCTAAGATAACATACCTTTGGAATGTCAGGATAATAATTTCCTTTTATCAGACCCCTCAAAGCACAGGCACCCCTGTGGAGAGCACACATCCCCTCATTGTTATTGAGTTAATTGCTGACTGTTAACTACCCTATACCTACCTGTGTAAAAGAGGTAAGTGTCTATCATTTTCCTTTTTATCCAATCCCAGAGGTTTCCCTGCTTTGCTTTCTCCTGACTCCGTAATCCATCACCAATGGATTTCAGGTAACACATTTAGGTCTTCTCTTTTGATTGTAATGTATAAAACAAGGTGCAAAACTGCCATTCTCTGGACCATTGTCTTAATCTATTGATATTTTGCTTCCCGGAAATTACCGAGTTTGGCTCAAATAAACTCACAAAAATTCTTCACAGGTTTGAATGTTTCTTGTGTTGACACACAGTTTGGAATGACAACTTCTGAGTTCTTTACATTTCAGTGCTGAGTCTGGAAGTCCCTATATTAAGTTTCAAAAATATATATTTGTTTACTAAGTGAATGAATTATTCTTTACTTATTAGTAAATATTTTTGCCCTCTTTTATATGTATGACATATTTCACAATAAAGAATAAGTTAAATAGTCGCACTTTATAAAACATGTTCAAACCTTAATCATATTTATGTATTTTTTGTCTGTAATTTTATATGGTCATGGAATTATTTAACATATAGTTCAATGATTACTGAACCAATAACCTAGCTTTCTAGGACCAAATTAAAATTATATATAATTTAAGTAAAATCCAACATCTTGAGATATATTTTTATATATATGAAAACCATATTGAACATTATGATGGATGTAATCATTTGAAATTATCCTTACCATTAAATTATCCTTACAGAATGTTTTCCATTGTTTGTTTTGTTAGAAACAAGTGAGATTTAATAGATAATTTTCTTCCTTTTTTTCCTCTTCTATAAATATGTGCACAACTGTATGATTTGGTGAAAAAAAAACCTAGACATAAATATTAACTAATAGAAAATGTGTGATATATTTTCTAAGTGTTTTATAGAGGTCTTATGAACAGGAATTATAGTGTTTTTGGTGACTATAAGCAGATTACTTAAACTCTCAGAGTTTCCGTTTTCTCATATATAAAGTAGAGCTACTAATATATTCCACTTTGTAGAGTTTTCATGAGACTCAAGCATGAAAAACTATCAATGTGATACTTATAATATGAACACTATAATACTTATAATATGAACATTATAATACTTATAATATGAACACTATAAGTATTCACTGTTAGTATTATTATTAACTATACTGCTGTCTTAGATATAATGAAAACAGCCTTAGAGGAACAATATTTCCTTAATAGCTAATATAAGCTATATGCTGAAGCAGACAGTCACCATGTGAACTCTCATTAATGAGACTGTGCTCATAATCCATGCATGAAAGCAATTGTCACAGTTTTATAGTCACACGGTTCTCACTTTCCTTTCTGCATTGTGTGTTTCTAGAGGATTGAAATTAAACTGTACTTAAAGCCATTATATGAAGCTTTTAACCTCTGTGTGTAAAATAAGTATCAGGGTTTTGGGGGGGAGTTTCTTGGCTAGTTTTTAAGGACTGAAAAGGGTCTGCCCTTAGAGTTTATCTTGTCCTCTACTTAGAGATAAAGTTCTAATAGAGTTTGGGTCACATAACTCAGTTCCTGAAACATGTGATTACAAAGATCCGTTAAGGATAAAAGGATAAGTTCAAAACATCTCATACCAACACTTAGATTAGGGTGTTAAGACCTACCGTGAACCAGGCGCCACAGCTGCATTTTGAAGCTCAGGAGCCAGGAAGAGCATGGAGCATGGAGCTTTTCCTGGGAATCTCAGAGCATCTCAGATGGCAGGAAACCCACGGTGCTCTCTGATAAGAGTTTAGTCAAGCCGAAACCGGTTTGGCTCAGTGGATAGAGCGTCAGCCTGCGGACTGAAAGGTCCCAAGTTCGATTCCGGTCAAGGGCATGTACCTGGGTTGCAGGCACATCCCCAGTAGGAGTTGTGCAGGAGGCAGCTGATCATTGTTTCTCTCTCATCGATGTTTCTAACTATCTCCCTTCCTTCCTCTCTGAAATCAATAAAAATATATTAAAAAAAAAAAAAAGAAAGAAGCAGACAGAGGGCCCCTGGCAGGGTGGTGCCCAGGAGAGGGCAGTGGGTGGGCGGACACAGGCCCCTAGCAGTGAGTGCACGCCCATCCCGCACTGCGGGTCAGGGCAGAGGGAAGGGAACGGAGCAGTTATTGGGAAGAAGGGAGCCCTGGAGAGCAGCACCCAGGAGAGAACTTCAGGGAGACCCAGCGAGAGCAGCGGGTGTGCAGCGGGGACAGGACTTCCTCTCTGTAAAAAATCAATAAAAAAAAAGAGTTTAGTCAAAATTAGCAACGGAACTGGGAGTTTGGGTTGAATTTGAGTGAATGGATACACGGGCTCAA